CCTTGGAATTAAAAAATGCCTTAACTTGGATCACATGATATTGCTAGTCTGAAACTATTTGTTTTCTAATGTGTTTAAAATCCTTCAGGAAGTGACACAATAAGTTTCCGTGAGTTTAAATGACCCGAAATTTTTCTAAGTGCTACATTTTGGCAGTCTGCATGGAAATTCCATGAACATTTTCATGTTTAGGGCCATTTTCAGAATCAATATGGATATATTATAAAACAGCTGACTTTCCCTTGCTATTCAATGGAAAGTTACTCTTAAATTGTACAGTTGGTCAATAGCACAGTGTTAAAGGCAACAATGAATCATGAAAAAAAACTTGCAAGGATTGGAGGATTTAGCTACATTTAAGTAAAGCCAGGAAACTTGAAAACAAACAGTTGTTTAGGCCATGTGTAATACTGCAGTAGAAAACAAAGATGCCTTTCAGTAAGTGTATTTTGTATTGAATGACAATACTTCATTCAGAAGTAAAGTAGAAGTTTTTAACTTGATCTTCATGAATTCAGCAACTAAATTCACACTCAGGGGAGAGATATAGGGCCATAAAAGCCCTCTTGTTCTCAAACACTATTTTTTTAATTTTCATATTATCAGAGTAGTTTTATTAGCTCGACTATACGAAGTATATGGAGAGCTGTCCTACTCGCCCCGGCGTCGGTGTCCAGATTTCAGATTAAAGTTTTGGTGCAGTAAAATATTTTTCACTATAACTTTGCCATTTCTTAAGGTATCAACTTCAAACTTCAAATATATGTTCCTTATCATCAACCACATCTTATGTGACAAGGTTCATAACTGTAGCACCAATATTTTCAGATTTATCTCCCCTTGAACTTAGAATTTTCCTTAAAAATACTATTTTTTACTGTTACTTCTTTATTTCTTAAGGGATCAACCTCATACTTCATATATATGTACCTTATCATCATCCCCATCTTTTGTGACAAGGTTTATAACTTTAGCACCAATATTTTCAGATTTATCTCCCCTTGAACTTAGAATTTTCTTAAAAAATATTATTTCTTACTGTAACTTTGTCCATTGTCCGTCTGTCCGTCCGTAAACTTTTGCTTTAAATGACATCTCCTCATAAACTGCTGAGCCAATTTCATCCAAACTTCACGGGAATGTTCCTTTGGTGGTCACCTTTTAAAAATTGTTCAAAGAATTTAATTCCATGCAGAACTCTGGTTGCCATGGCAACCGAAAGAAAAATCTTTAAATATCTTCTTTTAAACAACCCTAAGAGCTAGAGCTTAGGTATTTGGCATGAAACATCTTCTAATGAGTGTCTACCAAGTTTGTTCAAATTAAAGCCCTGGGGTCAAAATTGGCTCCGCCCCAGGGGGTCATAGATTTTCCTATATGCATATAGTAAAAACTTAAAAAATCTTCTTTTAAAGAACCCAAAGAGCTAGACCTAAGATATTTGGCATGAAACATCTTCTAGTGAGTGTCTACTAAGTTTGTTCAAATAAAAGCCCTTGGGTCAAAATTGGCCCCGTCCTGGGGGGTCATTGATTTTCCCCATATGCATATAGTAAAACTTAAAAAATCTTCTTTTAAAGAACTGTAACAGCTAGAGCTTAGATATTTAGCATGAAACATCTTCTAGTGAATGTCTACAAAGTTTGTTCAAATAAAAGCCCTGGGGTCAAAATTGGCCCTGCCCCAGGGGGTTATAGATTTTCCCTATATGCATATATATAGTAAAAACTTAAAAAATCTTCTTTTACAGAACCCAAAGAACTAGAGCTAAGATATTTGGCATGAAACATCTTCTAGTGAGTGTCTACCAAGTTTGTTCAAATAAAAGCCCTGGGGTCAAAACTGGCCCGCCCCGGGGGTCATTGATTTTCCCTATATGCATATAGTAAAAACTTAAAAAATCTTCTTTTAAAGAACTGTAAGAGCTAGAGCTTAGATATTAAGCACGAAACATCTCCAAATGAATGTCTACCAAGTTTATTCAAATAAAAGCCCTGGGGTCAAAATTGGCCCCGCTCCAGGGGGTCATTGATTTTCCCTATATGCATATAGTAAAAACTTAAAAAATCTACTTTTAAAGAACCCAAAGAGCTAGAGCTAAGATATTTAGCATGAAACATGTTCTAATGGGTGTCTACCAAGTATGTTCAAATAAACGCCCTGGGGTCAAAACTGGCCCGCCCCGGGGGTCATTGATTTTCCTTATATATGTATAGCAAAAACTTAAAAATCTTCTTTGAAAAAACCCAAATAGCTAGAGTTTAGATATTAAGCATGAAACATCTTTAAGTAAATATCTACAAAGTTTGTTCAAATAAAAGTCCGGGGGTGAAAACTGGCCCTGCCCCAGGGGTGTCATTGTTTTTAACTATATGTGTATAGTAAAAACTTAAAAATCTTCTTTTAAAAAACTCAATGAGCTAGAACTTAGATGTTAAGCATGAAACATCTTCTTATGGGTGTCAACCAAGTCTGTTCAAATAAACAAATAAAAGCCCTTGGGTAAAAATTGGCCTGGGGGGGGGGGGGGCCTATATACTTGTGAGCGACCTCAAGGCCATCATGGCCCTCTTGTTAAGGTATCTACTTCAAACTTTAAATATATTCTTCTTATCATTACAAACATGTTGTGTGACAAGGTTCATAACTCTAGCGTGACTATTTCTAGAATTATTTCCCTTGATCTTGGAATTTATTTTAACAAATGTTATTTTTTTACTATAACTTAATACATAATTATACATAATTGATTTTTCTTTCATAGTTTTGTCCTCCTTACTGCGTCCAGTATTTTAGTAGTCGAGCTTGGCTGTATCCTGTGACAGCTCTTGTTACTTTTCTTTCAGATAGATTTTAATGACAAGAACATAAAGAAGGCACTGAAACATTTAAATTCATTTCTGGAGGAGGAAAATTTAGACAAGCTTAGAAAGATTTTGCAGCTTTCAAGAGATGAATGTGAACTTGAAATTGGTCTGGGAGTTCATCTGTTTTCAAAATTGATGGGAGAAGCATACACCAGCAGAGAGAAGAATTTAGAAAGTTGTCCATGTGGTTGTAAGGAAAAGCTTCTAGATCTTCAATATATGTGGATAGGTATGTTTCAGTCGGCTTTGAAGACTATTTAAATAAGCTAGAACTACTGCTGGATACATTGAAACTTAGAGCTGTGGGTTCAAATTCCAGATGGGTCATTTTTCTTTTCTTTTATAACAGTATTTATGTATCTTTGGTATCCCTTTTGGAAACAAGAAAAAAGTGTTTGATGGTAATAATTTAATTAATATAGGTATTAATGCTAAATAATGCTAAATCTAATTAGTACAACTAATTATGGTACTTTATATTTTCAAAGTAAAATCAAATCAAAACTTAAGCATTAATACTAGCCGGTAAAAGTTTTCCTAAATTTTCTAAAAAGAAAATTAGTTGACCTTGTAAAATATTAAATACTTTTACCGGCTAGTGGATTGTTAGTTGAATGTTACATTTTGTTTCTTACCAAAAATTAATTGGATTATTATTTCATAAGGATGATGTTGTAGAATATTTTAAGTTTCCTTATTTCTGAAAAAGGGCCCACCCCTTTTACATTGTGAGTTGAGACTTAGCTTAATACAATGAGAGCATAATAGAATGTCAGTATTCGAGGCCGCCCTATACCTCTAACATGGATTTTGACAGAATTATGTCCAATGAAAGTCAAAAGTTGTTAATAACTAGCAGAAATTTAGGTCAGTAAGGTCAAGGTTATACTGGTTTGCAACAGTTAAACAGTTTTGGGATGCAAACCCGAGTTCCCTTGAGCCTACAATTATGAAACTTCATAGAGATGTTGATCATGACTAGTAGATAACCTCTTATTGATGTTGAGGTTAGTGGGTCAAAGGTCAAGCAATTTGAACTTGACATTTGCTTATTTTTGTGACAAGTTTTCCATCACAAGGGCATAGTGTCTGTGAGTGTAAAATTTAATCACTCTTGTGAAAGCTCTAGTTTTCATTTTCAGGATCTGAAAACACATGGTATGGAGAACTGGATATTATAGCTGGAAATCTTGTTGCTGGAAATTCTGTCTCAGTTCTTGTTAAAAACAGAAGTAGAAGTGTTAATTCTGATATACAGAAAGGTGACGAAATAGACTCTGAAGGAGATGAATCAGAAGAGGAAGAAAATGACAATGCCACGGAGTTAAGTGACAGTGATCAGTCAGGGGTGAAATATTATGAACATGCTGAGGCCCTTAATCATGTTATTGCTCAGGCTGTAGTGTTTGCGTTTACAGAGTACAACAGACATGCTAGTCAAGGAAAAGTTATACCTTCAATCTACATTGATAAATCATGTTTTCAGTATGTCATGTACTGTCCTGTTGATGACATAATGCTTGTTTCAAATTATATGATGTATATGGATATGGAAAATTTCGATAAAAAATCAGGTTTTAGGCCATTTGTTGTGTTATGGATAATCCTAAATCACAGATTGTTCTTTAAAAAAAGTCCAGATTTTAGCAAGCGCTTTATCAAAAGTGGATTCCATGAGAAAATAAATGATTTGCAACGGTTCCAAAAATTGGCAGCATATTCGAAAATTATTCGCCTTCCAGAGCAGAAATTAAATTTTCCAAATGACACACCCAATACTATTGGTACTACGGCAATGGACTGGTTCCTTGATAAGTAAGATTTCTGTGGAAGCTCCCCCCCCACTCCCTGCTTAAATGCTTCCTAGAGCAGGAAGTGCTTGTGGAGAGCTATTATGATCACACGCTGTCCGTCGACAGTGAATCCAAACTTAAAACAATTATACTCCTCCTTAATTATTGTTCCTTGGCAATTAATCAATGAATTTAGTTCTACACTGAATTACCAGAGCAAAGGATTAGAACCATTTAAAAAAAGAATTGTCAGAAACTGGTTGTTGGTTGATGCTAAAATTGTTAAAATTATTCCGATTCCTGGAAAAACATGTCCTTTTAACAGGATCTGATAAGTAAATTTTTACAGTGGCATTGTTGGAAAACATCTGCCTAATTTGAAATAGTTCAATAAGAAATATAGGTGACCCTAACAAGATTATGAGTCCTCTGCCGCGAGGCAGGAGAGTGGTAATACGAATGTCCTTCACCTGTCCGTCAGTGGTGACCGCTGAGTGGTCTGTCCTCATGCACAAATGTGGTACTTAAGTGGCTATTGGAACAATAGGTAACAGTAGATATTCTTTGGTGCTACATGATTAGTGCTAACTGCGTTAAGATAAGTGTTTCGAATATCATTTGGCTCAACTTATTAAAAAACAAAATAAAAAAAAGAGGTATTGTTACAGTAATGATTGTATGCGTTGACGTTGCCATCAGCATATTTACCCTAATCATAACTTTTCAAGTTCTTAGTGTATTTTGTTCATACTTGGCCCCAACAATTCTTTGGACAAGACCTTCAAGTAGACTAGAGTAACCTTGACCTTCAGTCATAAATGACCTCGACCTTTAAGGTCAAATATCTAAATCTTGCTTGTTTTTTGTTGATTTTTGCTGTCAGTGGGTATACATAACTTTGTTATTTATGAACGGATTGTCTTCAAACTTGAACATACTAATCTTTTAGAAAAGACCTTTAAGTTAACCAGATAGACCTTGACCTTTACTCATTAATGACCCTAACCTTGAATGTCAAATTATTGAAATTTTTATTTTTTTCTTGTAACTGGCTATAAATTTGTTATGAATGTATTGACTTAATTTTATAACGCTACATTCTGTAGGATAAGGCCTTCATGTTTATCATACTCAAACTGACCTTGGCTCTTTAATGATTATGACCTTGAAGGTTAAATTAATGAATTTTCACTGATTTTTGCTATAACTGACTGTTACATGGTAATGAATCAATGGATTATCTTCATACTTTGACAAAACAACGTTTTAGACAAAACATTGTAAAAGGTTGAACCTTGAGCTTTAAATGATCAGATCTTGACCATCAAAGTCAAAGTATTTAATTTTGGTTAAGTTGTCATAATTTTGTTTAATATATATGTATTAGATTCATACTTGGACAAAAGAACACTTGTGACCAAAAAGACACATGGAATAATTTAGATATGACTTGACCTTTAAATGACCTTGACTGTCAAAAGATTGAATTTTGATTATATTTTCTTAACATTGTCATTTATTTATAGAAACGATTCATATTTGGACAAAACAACAATTGTGACTAGACTTAAAAAAAGGAAAAACTTATATTGTTTTTAAGATTTGTTTAAACTGTCTATTTGTTTGCTTTTAAAAAAAGTAAAAAGTCGAGTGTTGCCTGGCCTGTTGATGGCTCTTGTAATTATCAATTAATTATTATTTGTTTACTTATACTACATTATAAAAGCCAATCTGTTGAAAACTATTTATTAAACTAGTTCAACTTAACAGTGAAAAAATGAACAGATGTGAATTAACACCACATGCAATGCTCTTATACAAATAATCATATTGTTAACTTCATTCCAATTTTGTTTTCTAATTTTGTGTCTGCTTTTTGTTTGAATGGTCATAAATAATAAGTTTCATATTTGGGATAATGTGATAAAAGGACAAGATGATGCTCTGCAAAAAAAAATGTTGTTTTTGTAACTGTATAAATATGATTATGATCTTATGTTTGAAATAAAGTCTTTGAAATTCAATTCATCAATCTTTGTTATGGTTATTACGCATTTTTAGTTGTTGTTGATGTTTGTTTCTTGCTGTTGTTGATTTTTTTGTCAGGCAAGACAATTTTAGTGCAGAGAGGATGTATGGATCAATATGACAAAAATGCTTATTAGAAATCCCTGTAGGATATAGATGAAGGAGTTCAAAAAAAGACAAATCAGTTGGCATAGACGATGAAAAAGTATCAAGTTAATATTGGCAAATGGTTTAGAAGGAAGGACCAGAAAAACCCCAACCTATAAAATGCCGTTGAATAAAAACTTCAACATGTTGGCCATAACTTTGTTTTTGCCTTCGCCGTCTGTCCGTCCGTCTGGTCGTTCATCCGTCTGCATTTAGCTTGTCCACCCGTCACAGGTCAAACTGGATTTCAACCAAACATTACAGGAGTGATCAGTACCTTGCTAGTTGTGCACAATACCAGCAGGTTCCACTTCGCTTCAAAAAATAGCCGCCAGAGCTAAAAATAGAGAAATCTTGTCCGGCCTTCACAGGTCAAACTACTGGTGGGATTTCAACCAACCTTAAGAGGAATAATCAGTACCATCTCTAGTTGTGCACATCACTGGTACGTTCTGCTTCGCTGCACAAAATGGCCACCTGAGATAAAAATAGAAAAATCTTGTCCGGCCTTCACAGGTCAAACTTCTGGTGGGATTTCAAACAAACTTTACAGGAATGATCAGTACCATCACTTGTTGTGCACAATACCGGCATGTTCTGCTTTGCTGCACAAAATGGCCGCCAGAGCTAAAAATAGAAAAATCTTGTCCGGCCTTCATAGGTCAAACTACTGGTGGGATTTCAACCAAACTTTACGGGAGTGATCAGTACCATCCCTAGTTATACACAATACCAGCACATTTCGCTTTGCTGCACAAAATGGCCGTCAGAGCTATAAATAGAAAATCTTGTCCTGCTTTCATAGGTCAAGCTACTGGTGGGATTTCAATGAAACTTCACATGAGTGACCATCGATAGTTTGGGGAGACAATTTTGTTTTGTTACAAAAACCGTTGTTGTTTAATTATAAATTTGATATATACTTGGACAAAAGATCTTAGTCAAAACCTGGATGTTGATTAATCCCATCAACAAAGCTGGGAGGGGATAAGAGGAATTGCCTCTGTCTGTCCGTCTGTAACACTTTCGTGTCCACTCCATATAATTTTTAAACTGCTGAATTTCTTTTTAAATAACTTGGCACAAGTGATCACCATTATGATGCAATGTGCAGAACACAATATTTGGGTTGCTACCCCCAAAGATCAAGGTCACACATAAAGGTCATGTGGTAAAAAGTCTACATTTCATGCCTGCTCTATAACTGTTTGTATCATGTGGAAGAATACTAAACATGTGCTATAATTGTTCAATTTTTATCCCCCACCCACCCTTCAAAAAAGAGGGGGTATATTGTTCTGCTAATGCCGGTCGGTCTGTCTGTTGGTTGGTCAGTCTGTCCGTCTGTAGACCACATGGTTTCTGGTGATTATCTTGAAAACTATTCATTGCAAAGTTTCATATTTCACATGCCGCTCGGTCATAACTAGTAAATGACCCCTATTGATTTTGGGGTCACTAGGCCAAAGGTCAAGGTCATAGTGGCCTTAAATGTCAGAATGGTTTTTAGCTGAATATCTTGTAAACTATTCAACGCAAAGTCTTCATATTTCACATACTGATTGGTCATAACAAGTAGATGACCCCTGTTGATTTTGGGGTCACTAGGTGAAAGGTCAAGGTCACAGGGGCCTTAATTGTGAAAATGGTTCCGCTGATTATCTAGAAAACTATTCATTAAAAAGATTTCATAAATTACATACTGATTAGTCATAACTCGTAGATGATGCCTATTGATTTGTGGTCACTATGTCAAAGGTCAAGGTCACAGTTGCCTTAAATGTTGGAATGGTTTCTGCTGATTATTTTGAAAACTATTTATCACAAATTCTTCATATTTCACATACTAATTGGTCATAACTAGTAGATGGCCCCTGTTGTTTTTTTGGTCACTAGGTCAAAGGTCAAGGTCACAGGGGCCTTAAATGTCAGAATGGTTTCGGCTCATTATCTTAAAAACTATTTATCATAGACTCTTAATATTTCACATATTGATTGGTCATAACTAGTAGATGACCCCCTATTGAGTTTGGGGTCAAAGGTCAAGGTCACTGTGGCCTTATATGTCACAATGGTTACATTTATATAATAATGTTTATTTTATTCCAGCTACCCTCTAACTTGTATAACTTATTAATGATAGCTTTCATTCAGTTTCAGGTCATATATTGGTCATTATTTTTTCCATAACTGAACACTTCCATGTACCCATTTATAGCATGTTTCCATAGGCACTTGGTTTCGGGATAAAAAGTCTTTTGAAGGGTTTGTATAACTCAAATTTGATCGAATGTAACGATTTTTTAACGTAGATGTCTCGATTCTAAATTCGACATTTTTCCGATAATACTAAATGTCGAATTTAGAATCGAGACATCTGTATACGTTAAAAAATCGTTACATTCAATCAAATTTGAGTTATGCAAACCCTTCAAATTTTAAAAAGGCTTTTTATCCCGAAACCAAGTGCCTATGCATGTTTCTATAACAAAATTACTAAAAGTATGAGTCAAGGACTCGAAAAGGTGGGGGCATATATGTCGTTTAACATTTCTTGTTAACTGTTTTTCAGTCTTTGAATTCACAAATGCATGTATTTTGATAAGGCAATTAATTGATTTAATATCTATTTTTTTTTACAATGTACCTAAAATGCAACGGATCCCGGAATAAGCATAAAATTAAAAATTTATGAAAATTATTAACTTACCAAAGCTCAAAAGTCGCCATTACTTGTTTGTATTACTATACATAGATTAATCATCTCGTGCCCACAACTTCGTAACTTAATTGTGGCTATTACTTACTCATGGCCACGACAAAGTACATGTATCTTCTTCCCATTTTACAATATACCTAAATAATGGAGCTAGATATAAGATTTTTATGTTCTATTGTGATATCTGTACTAAATAACAACGGAATATGCATACAAATTTGAATTACTAAAATACATACATGCATGCAGATCTATTAAACATCTAAAAAAATACATTATATATTTTTTTTCCATTTCATTAAATTCCATGTCATTATCAATCAAGATATTGACACTATTGAACTACCGTCCTGAAAACTTTGTCATCTAGTCTTTTCAATTCATATCCAAGAATACCGTCAACACCAACTAATCAAACGTTTTTGGAGACCGGGGACCGTTTAAGACCGGAGACCGCTGATTAGTACAAAATGCTCTTCTAAAGGAGAATTTTATCACGTGATACGTAAAACTAAAGTAAAGATCTCTCTGCACAACGACCATCATTTACATTATTTAGTCTATGTTAGCCTATTTGATGTAGGTCCTATTGTTTTTTGTTGTTTTCTTTTTTTAATTCTTAAGTAATGTTCATGTTTTTATTCAAAAAAACGTCATGATTGATGAAGTTGTATTTAATTTTAATTGAACTCTCGGGTGTCGGAGCAATTTATATTCGTTCCCAAATCAGTTCGAACCAGAACATGCGAACATAAATGATAAACTAAAAATATGTTGTTTATTGTAGCCTAAGTTCACATGTTTCCAGAACTAGAAATCACGGAAATAATTTTCAATTTAAAAAAAAAATGTTAAAAGAAAGGAAAATGCGATGTCTTTCAATGAATGACTATAGTGGCCAGCCTGTATCATAGCCCAACAAATTGTGCGCTTTAGGGCTTTTTTATATACACGATGGTCGCCCTTCAAAAGACAGACATCAATGTAATATCAGATTATTAAATCGGTCTGTCTTGCCGTTGAAATATTGAGACTACCTGTATCATAGCCACAACAGACAGAAGAAAAAAATATCTCTGATATACAGTGAATATTGTATGAGTGTAGGTTCAAACTGAATTAATTAAGCAAATATAAGTTAATTAAAATTGTATTATGCAAGCCTGATGAAACCGAGCCTAAGGCAAGCATAATTTAACTGTTTTATTCAACAAGCTTCGATTTTAGCTTAAGGAGCTACGCAAGTATAATATTCTATTTATCAAATACCAAGATAAGAACACTTTTTTCCTGTAAAAAGTGTTTATTGGTCAATTGCGTGCTTAGAATATAACAGTTACTCAAAAGTTACTTAAAGCTGTATATATTTGTATAACACAGACAGTATTGTGTCAAAATTTATGTATGTTGATGATGGCCATGCAATAACGTTCCTTGAAGAAGTGTCATATGTAAATGATAAATATGATTGAGAAACATTTAAGCACATACATGTAGATGGGCAAAGGTCCAATAACTCTGAGCAACCATTTTACAGAGTTATGCCCCTTTTCTTACTGTCCTGCAGCTGTACTAAGAACAGTTGAGTATGTTGTCAAACAGACAGCTTTTATTACTAGATCCTATAGCATGTTAAATTGTAGATATCCTTATAGTTAAAAATAGTCAGTTGCCTAATTTGTATTTTAATGATTCATATTTCTAGATAAGAAGAATGGGATCAATTTTATGGGTACCATTAGCATTTCTGATATCAGGAATATGGCTTTATGTATTATCAATCAATCTACCAGAACACACAGGCTCAGATAGGTAAGTTTTTAAATCATATCATAGAAGTCTAGGCGGGAGCACTTTTAGAATCAGTCCGCAGCAAAATTAAAGTTTTTAACATCCTAACTTTAACCCATAACGCCCAACACTAACCCATAATACTTAAACACTAACCCCTTACTCAAGCAATAATCTCAGTTATCTCATAGAGAAACATAAATATTAAGGAAGGTATTGGGTAAAATCAGATTGTCAAAAAAAGCTGTGGACAGATTCTAAATTCTAGCCCTTAAATGTTTTGGGGTGGCATTTATTCTTCAGACTGCTTTTAGAAATTATAGAAATTTGGCAAGAAATACAATGGGTAAAGTAAGATATATATTCATTATGACAAATAAAATCTAAGTTGACATTTTTGAAAGGTTGTTATTATTTAAAACACAGTGTACTGTAGTTACATTTTAGCAACAAGGGAAGTCACTAGCTTACTGTAGAATTTACTGTCAGCTACTTTTGCCAAGATCATGGTCTGTATTCACTATTGCTCATTAATTCAGTCAGTACTGATACTTTCAATTCTTTTATTGAAAATGGAAATTGGTTTTATCCAGTTTTAGAAAAGTCTATTTATTTTAGTATTTTAAGGTTTTTAGGATGGCAATTGCAGGGCTTGTTAGGTGCTGCTTGGGCAAGTGCTAGGGGACAAGGACGGTAACTTGCACTTGCCAGTACCGTCCATTAACATGCTTAATGAAGCCGAGACTTCAAGATTTTCAATTTTGCCATTTTGGACCTTCTTTAAGGCTTCTATTTCACTCTTTCTTTAATGTGTGTACTTTTTAGCTCGACTTTTCTATGAAAAGGGGAGCTATCCTACTCGCCCCGGCGTCGGCGTCGGCGTCGGCGTTAGCGTTAGCGTTAGCGTTGGCGTCACACCTTGGTTAAGTTTTTCGTACCACCCCACTTTATTTCAGAAGTATTACAAGTATGGCTTTGAAACTTACCATACTTGTTCACCATCATAACCTCCATCTACAGACAAGAGTACATAACTCTGTCAAGGTTTTTGACAGAATTATGGCCCTTTTTTGACTTAGAAAGTGTATTGAGCTTGGTTAAGTTTTTTGTACCACCTCACTTTATTTCAAAACCATTGGAGGTATTGCTTTGAAACTGACCATACTTGTTTACCATCACGACCTTCATCAACAGACAAGAGGACATAACTCTGTCAAGGTTTTTGACAGAATTATGCCCCTTTTTGACTTAGAAAATACATTGAATATGGGTAAAATCCACTTATTGCCTTAACCCTTTGAGATATTGCTTTGAAACTTTTAATGCTATTTCAAATCATTACCCCCATCTGTACGCAAGAGAAGGTAACTCTGTCAAGGATTTGTTTTAAAAATTAAGGCCTTTTATCGACTTAGAATCTTGGTTAAGTTTTTAGTACCAGTCCACTTTTTGACTGAACTGTTTGAGATATTAATTTGAAAGTTGGAATACTTGTTTACCATCATGGTCCCAAAACATGGGCAGGAGAAGGTAATTCTGTTAAGGATTTTATTTGAATTATGGCCCTTTTTGACTTAGAAACTCAGTTAAGATTTTCATTCTTGTCCACTTGTTGACTTAACCATTTGAGATATTACTTTGGAAGTTGGAGTTCTTATGTGCCATCATGAGACCTATCTGTAAGCAAGAGAAGATAACTCTGTGAAAATGTTTCTTGATTTGTACTTAGAAATTCCTAGTTAAAGTCTTGTGTGCCCTTAACTGTCAAAGTTTTGTTTTATAGGCAAGCACTAAAAAAGTCGAGCGCGCTGTCCTTCTGACAGCTCTTGTTTCATTATTCTTGTACAGGTCAGCTTTAAAGTTTCCGAGGAATTTCGATGATCTCACGGCATTGGCATCTTTGTTGAAGGATTATAAATCAGATAACATGCAGTATGTGATGTTACTCTTCTGTAGTGCCTATCTCTTCAAACAGACATTTGCTATCCCTGGATCATTCTTTATGGTGAGTCTCATTTTCAAATATTACATACCAAGAACTATTACACTGGCAAAGATTTAAAAAAGAATTAACTGAATTACTTCCCTTGTAGTTCTATTAGATTATTGCACACTGTTTTGACCTAAAACACCTGTTTAGGAATTTATGTGTTTGATATATAAAACCTATATACACATGTATTATCATTGACTACTTTGAGAGGTAGGGTATAAATTTGTATTTACTTCAACATTGATGCCTAGATGTACTTTGATGTGCACAATGTAATAAATAAAATTAATCAATTTATTAATAATAATTGATTAATAAATCCTTGGTTATTTGTCAATGCTTTTTTGTTGAATTTTGTTATGTGACACTACACTGTATTAGAGACATGGAAAAGTACAAGGCTGTAGGCAATTGGACTTTGCCCATGAGGTCAAAAGTTCAAGGTCACTGTAGCCATGATGACTAAAAGTTTGTTAAAATAACAACTAGAGAACAGTATGTCCCACAGTCCTTGGATTTTGTTCGAAAGTTAGTATTTAACATAGGATAATATTCATCTAAGAGTTCTGTATAACCAATGAAATAGATCATATTTGTGGTATTTTCAGAATGTTTTTAGGAGGTGCCCTATTTGGAACATGGAGAGCCTTTCCGCTAGCGAGCTTACTGACAGCATGTGGCGCCACCTGTTGTTATCTTTTGTCACAATTCTTTGGCAAGTCATACATTGAAAAATTCTTTCCTGAGAAAGTACAGTTTATGCAGAAAAAGGTATAAGTTTTTTTTTTTTTTTTTTTTTTTTTTTTTTTTTTAAAAACAATAATTATTATTCAGATGCTTTTTAGGGTGAGCTTTTGTGATCGCTTTTTCGTCCGGCATCCGTAAACTTTTACTTTAAATGACATCTCCTCATAAACCGCTGAGCCAATTTCATCCAAACTTCACAGGAATGTTCCTTTGGTGGTCACCTTTAAAAATTGTTCAAAGAATTTAATTCCATCAAATAATTTGGTCAAAATTTGCCCTGCTTCGGGGGTCATTGATTTTCCATATATGTGTAAAGCAAAAACTTTAAATTACAAATTCTTTGAAATTTACCAAATAGCTAGAGTTTAGATACTAAGCATGAAAGATCTTCTAGTGAGTGTCTTCAAACATGGTTCAAATAAAGCCCTAGGGTCAAAATTGGCCTTGCCCCGGGGGACATTGATTTTCCTTATATGTGTATAGCAAAAACTTAAAAATCTTCTTTAAAAAAAAAAACAGAATAGGTAGAGTTTAGATATCAAGCATGAAACATGTTCAAGTGAGTGTCTCCAAAGTTTGTTCAAATAAAAGCCCTGGGGTCAAAACTGGCCCCGCCCTAGGGGTGTCATTGCTTTTAACTATATGTGTATAGTTAAAACTTAAAAAATCTTTTTTTTAAAAACTCATCGAGCTAGTCCTTAGATGTTTAGCCTGAAATATCTTCTAATGGGTGTCTACCAATTTTGTTCAAATAAAAGCCCTGGGGTTTAAACTGGCCCGCCCTGGGGGCCTATATACAGGTGAGCGACTTTAGGACCATCATTGCCCTCTTGTTTTTTAATTGTAATTGAAAAATTCATAGCTGTTACTTTTTTTGTTTGCCCTCTTAGGTGAATAATGAGATATAAAAACACAGAAAAATGAACAAACCTCTGTTTTCACTTATAATTGAAACCAGGATAACATCCTGTGTTGCAGGGATGATGGATTGTAAGTTAAATATTCCAGAGTACAAACATAAAACATTGTATATTAATGATAAAATTTGTTCAGTGCTAAGAAAACTTCATTTTTTTGGTGAAATAAAAATTTGATGAGTTATACAAAAAATATGCAATATTGCCCCCTGTCAAATTGAAAATTAGATCCTTTTTGCTTTGTTTTTCACATATTTTACACAACTTTTCTTTCTTCATGCAAGTATTTTACCATTTTGCTTCAACAAACAAGCTTTAAACTATTTTACTTTAAACAAACAATCATTGAACCAATTTTATCTTAGTTCATGACAGCTTTACACAATACTTATACTTGCTTTTTTTTGCTCAGTATGTTATTATTTCATGATTGACTGTTTATTTTATTTAGGTTACAGACAATATGGACAGTTTGTTTTTCTTCCTGTTGTTTCTAAGACTATTCCCGATGTCACCAAATTGGTTTTTGAATATGGCGTCCCCGATACTTGATGTACCAGTACATTTGTTCTTCTTATCAGTCCTTATAGGTAAGATTCCTCTAATGTTCTAGTTTTGCTAGGCGGCCTTCATGGTTGAATGGTTAAGGTCTTTTGACTTCAAACCACTTGGCCATTACCACTGTGGGTTTAATATTCACGAGAAACTTTATATGAGCCGCGCCATGACAAAACCATCATAATGGGTTTGCGACCAGCATGGATCCAGACCAGCATGCGCATCCACGCAGTCTGATCAGGATCCATGCTGTTCGCTTACAAACCCTTTAACAAGTAAAGAAACTGATAGCGAATAGCATGGATCCTGATCAGACTGCGCGTATTCGAGGCTGGTCTTGATCCATGCTTGTCGCAAACCCATTATGTTGGTTTTGTCATGACGCGGGTCATATTATTTTTTCATGTAAAGAAGCTATCAAGCTAGCTTACTGAACATTTTTTTGTTCTGACCTGGTGCCAGCTTTTTCCTGAAATAATACACAGAGGGGCAACTGAGGTCTTCCTCCACCAGGAAAGCTTGAAGGTCACAGTATTATCTTTACAGTGTTAATAAAGCTTTAAAACTAACCAAACAAAAGTGATTGCTAGAGTGTCATTATTGTCAAAATAGTGGTTTTTAGCAGAGTTGATAATAGGTACTGTAAAGTCATTTTTATTCATGGGAAGATGATTGTCTTAGTTTTCGAGGATAGGTCAATCCAGGAATCCAAGATGTAACAAAATTTCATTTCGGCTGCTGTAATGTTATTTTGCAGATCACATTATGTTATATTTTATTTATCTATATCTTTTAGAAAAATAAACAGTCCACGAATTTAAGAACTCACAGAAATGTTTTTGTGACAAAACCACTAATTCCATACTCTGACATAAGATATTAGATGCATTTTTTTTGCCTTGTTATGTCTGTTATTAAGTCACACTGACAATTCAGAGATCACACAGTGACTCTCCAGTTTTACTAATGGAGGATGATCTCAGGCACTTCTATGCGCAGTATTTTAGGCATGATTGGGCACCTTAATACAACCACCAACCTTTGATGAATTATCTGGACTAAACTACTGCACATGAAAGAATTCTAAACACTACCGACAATGGTGGTGGGCAAGTGATTTGAAGTTGATGGCATTACCCATATCAAGGAGGCTTTATTTTTTTGCTCAATATTCAACAATTCAACATGATTATTGTTCAATGATTCTTAGGGTCTGCATGTTGTAAGAGTTTGTATATACCGTCACCATAATAACTTCCAGCTAGCATAATAACATACATGCTGGATTGATTTAAAGCTTTACAATTCAATTTTTTTTTTTTTTTTTTTTTTTTTTTTTTGTAACATTGTACTACTTTTCATATTGTACAAGTATTAATGATAGTTTATGGATATGACTAACAGTACAAAAAGGTCATTATGCATAACCCTTTCGCTGCCAGAGGGTTATTGTTTTATTGTTCACCTATTTAACCAGAGGATTTTCTAAGAAATTACTATATTGTTAATTAATATAATTATTATTATTTGTTATTAGTATTATAATAATTATATATGTTTCCAGTTCTGTTAGTATAATAATAATTATTGTCGATGGTATAATTTTTTTATATTTATTATTATTTTTATTATTATTATTATTAATTTATTATTATTACTATTATTAGCTCACCTGTCACAAAGTGACAGGGTGAGCTTTTGTGATCGCTTTTCGTCCGCCGTCCGTCCGTCCGTCGTCCGTCCGTCGTCCGTCCGTAAACTTTTGCTTTAAATGACATCTCCTCATTAACCACTGAGCCAATTTCATCCAAACTTCACAGGAATGTTCCTTTGGTGGTCACCTTTAAAAATTGTTCAAAGAATTTAATTCCATGCAGAACTCTGGTTGCCATGGCAACCGAAAGAAAAATCTTTAAATATCTTCTTTTAAACAACCCTAAGAGCTAGAGCTTAGATATTTGGCATGAAACATCTTCTAGTGGGTGTCTACCAAGTTTGTTCAAATAAAAGCCCTGGGGTCAAAATTGGCCCCGCCCCGGGGGGTCATTGATTTTCCCTATATGCATATAGTAAAACCTTAAAAAATCTTCTTTTAAAGAACCGTAAGAGCTAGAGCTTAGATATTTGGCATGAAACATCTTCTAGTGAATGTCTACCAAGTTTGTTCAAATAAAAGCCCTGGGGTCAAAATTGGCCCCCGCCCCAGGGGTCATTGATTTTCCCTATATGCATATAGTAAAAACTTAAAAAATCTTCTTTTAAAGAACCCAAAGAGCTAGAGCTAAGATATTTGGCATGAAACATCTTCTAGTGAGTGTCTACCAAGTTTGTTCAAATAAAAGCCCTGGGTCAAAATTGGCCCCGCCCGGGGGGTCATTGATTTTCCCTATATGCATATAGTAAAACCTTAAAAAATCTTCTTTTAAAGAACCGTAAGAGCTAGAGCTTAGATATTTGGCATGAAACATCTTCTAGTGAATGTCTACCAAGTTTGTTCAAATAAAAGCCCTGGGGTCAAAATTGGCCCCGCCCCAGGGGGTCATTGATTTTCCCTATATGCATATAGTAAAAACTTTAAAAAATCTTCTTTTAAAGAACCATAAGAGCTAGAGCTTAGATATTTGGCATGAAACATCTTCTAGTGAATGTCTACCAAGTTTGTTCAAATAAAAGCCCTGGGGTCAAAATTGGCCCTGCCGGGGGGTCATTGATTTTCCCTATATGCATATAGTAAAAACCTTAAAAAATCTTCTTTTAAAGAACCGTAAGAGCTAGAGCTTAGATATTTGGCATGAAACATCTTCTAATGAGTGTCTACCAAGTTTGTTCAAATAAAAGCCCTAGGGTCAAAATTGGCCCCGCCCAGGGGGTCATTGATTTTCCCTATATGCATATAGTAAAAACTTAAAAAATCTTCTTTTAAAGAACTATAAGAGCTAGAGCTTAGATATTTGGCATGAAAACATCTTCTAGTGAATGTCTACCAAGTTTGTTCAAATAAAAGCCCTGGGGTCAAAATTGACCCGCCCCAGGGGGTCATAGATTTTCCCTTTATGCATATAGTAAAAACTTAAAAACTTTCTTTTAAAGAACCCAAAGAGCTAGAGCTAAGATATTTAGCATGAAACGTCTTCTAATGAGTGTCTACCAAGTTTCTTCAAATAAAAGCCCTGGGGTCAAAATTGGCCCCGCCCCAGTGGGTCATTGATTTTCCCTATATGCATATAGTAAAAACTTTTAAAAAATCTTCTTTTAAAGAACTCAAAGAGCTAGAGCTAAGATATTTAGCATGAAACATGTTCTAATGGGTGTCTACCAAGTATGTTCAAATAAAAGCCCTGGGGTCAAAACTGCCCCGCCCGGGGGGTCATTGATTTTCCTTATATGTGTATAGCAAAAAACTTAAAAATCTTCTTTGAAAAAACCCAAATAGCTAGAGTTTAGATATTAAAGCATGAAACATCTTTAAGTAAATATCTACAAAGTTTGTTCAAATAAAAGCCTGGGGTCAAAACTGGCCCTGCCCCAGAGGTGTCATTGTTTTTAACTATATGTGTATAGTAAAAACTTTAAAAATCTTCTTTTAAATAATCCAATGAGCTAGAACTTAGATGTTTAGCATGAACATCTTCTTATGGGTGTCTACCAAGTCTGTTCAAATAAACAAATAAAAGCCCTTGGGTAAAAATTGGCCCGGGGGTGGGGGGGGGGCCTATATACAGGTGAGCGACCTCAGGGCCATCATGGCCCTCTTGTTATTATAGAAACGGCTAAAGCCGTCCATATGGCAAATACGCCGAAAATAACAGGGACAGTTTAAGCCGTCCCTATGGCAGTGAAAGGGTTAACCATCATTTTCAGGATTCATGACCTTGGCAATGAAACAGGTGTGAAGTTGCCATGCTTTAAAGTACTGTGCTTTTATGAGCACCAAACACATTTTCCGGGTTACTGCATGTTTACAGTTTAAGATGATTTGGAAAATTCCATTTGTTTAAGTTGTTTTAACTTTGATTTCTCATTGCAGGTTTGATGCCTTACAATTTTATATGTGTTCAGACAGGAAGTATGCTGTCAGAAATTACCTCCCTTGATGGAATCTTCACAAAGGAAACCACATTGAAATTATTTGGTATTGCCACGGTTGCATTACTACCTGGACTTTTGATAAATAAATTGAAAGAAGGAAGATTAAAGACCAACTAGTCTTGATGTAGTGATTAAATAGTGCCAATAATTAAATTTAAATATTCATAATATGATGATAGGACATGGGACATTTAAAGGGTATAAAACTATGCTAAATTTTTCAAATGGACTTGTCCATCTTTTAAATGTGGTGTTCAACCATTCATCATTTTTAGGGAAGATGCCAATAGTTGCAACTGAATAGTGAACAGTGCAGACCATGATCAGACGGCTCCAGTGTGCTGACTGATCTTGGTCTGTACTGGTAGCTGCGGTAGATTCAGTCCCCGCCAGCAGGTTTATAGTTATAACATGCAGTATTATAAAATTAATATGCACAAAATGTAATACAATTTTATTGTAAACTAGAACATAAATTATTAAGTTTGAAATGTTTTTAAATGATAGCAGAACAAACATACATTGAATATTCAATAGTCATGTGAGGAAGCTATCCAGCCAGCTTACGGAACGTTGGTGGTCTCTTTGTGCCTGAAATAATGCACAGTATAAAATATTTTTTTAAAAATGATACAAAAAATATTTTTCTGATATTATGAACAAATTTTTATTTATCATGTGCAATATGCTACTGTAAAATCAAATATAATTTCACGAGACCAAAAAATTCACAAAATCAACAATTCAGACTAAATTGGCAGGAGGTTTAATACGGTATTCATGAATTTCTACTGTTTAATATTCATGAATTTCTACTGTTTAATCTTCATGAATTTCTACTGTTTAATATTCATGATGTTCTTCCTCTTAATATTCATGCATTTCTAATGTTTAATATTCATGAATTTCCAATTTGATATTCATGGATTTCTACTGTTTAATATTCATAAAATTCCTACTGTTTAATATTCATGAATTTCTACTTTTTAATATTCACAAATTTTTACATTCACTTTTGTTTAATTTATGTTTTAAAACAAATAAGAGAATATTTGATTCCAAAAATCTTAATTCAAGAAAATAGCAAAGTTAAATCCCTCGTGAAAATTTTTGAATTTACAGTACCCATGTTTTCTGTCTCAGGATGTGCTATGCTCAAGTTACATGTTTTATTATATTATAAGTCTATATGTAGAACAAAACACATACCTAACATGTACCTTAGCATAATTATATAGTATTTTATTGTCTTAATTTAAATTCTGTGTATTAGAGTGCCCCAAAATTAGTTTTAGTTTACAACACCAGGAATTTTTTATTATTACCGTATCATATACTTCCAAGCAATGAAGGCATTCCTTATGCCAAGACATGATTTTCCCCAATTGGCATTCATAACATTCCCAATTTATCAGTCAGTCAGCATGAAATCTTTTTGTTGATTTTCTGTGGAAAAAAGTAGAGAATACATTTGTTATTTGAAATTGCATAATCAGGATTTTTATGAAAACAAAGACTATCATCAATAAATGCCATCTTTTAAATAAACATTATGTGTTTTAGTTTTAGCTGTTTCTGTAAGTTATTAAAACTACTATTTTTGAACTTTTTTTTTTTTGTTTTTAATCAACATCGCCCCCCCCCCCCCAATTCCAACAGTGTTGGAATCATTTTCTAAATGTAAGAATAAAAGTCTGAACATACATGTAAAATAGATTAAAAATTTCTGTCATATGTTGGGGTTTGGATCGGAATATCCGTCCAGAGGGGACCCACCCATTTGGTAACGAGTCTTGTCGAGTAACTGCCCATGGGGACGGATATTCTAATATGAAACGCAAACATACGTCAGATATTTTTTCTTGCATATTCTCCTATATTCCATTATACATGTTATATTTAAAATTATTTATCTTGATTTTCAATGGAAATTTAAATCATTACTGTTTACAACTGTAACTATTTTCTTACAACAGCGTATGAAATTACAACTTTATTCATAACAGTAAAATTAGATCATTCTAAGCATGACATTGTACAGTAAGGGACTCATCTGGAACCCCCCATGCCAGATGAAATTTCCCCCATGAGTAAAACTAACGGAAACGCCAGTCTGATATGCAAGAAAACTGTAAACCAAATTTAAAGTTGTTAACCACTTGATAAGGAAACCGATTTTCTTAAACTGAAACTTTATAATATCCTTGATAGAATACAAAGAAATGTATAATTATTGTACAAATTACTATACATGTCTTTTCATCTTTTGACCTAGGCAAAACTTCTCTGTGACAATTGTTTTTTGGATATTGAGTCTAATTGTTCTTTACAAATGTTGATTTGGAAAGTCATATGAGTTAAATACATCTGTAGTTGGTCACTTGTCGAGAAATTGGCAATTACCGGTTAGTTATCCAGAAAGCCAGTTAGGCAGACCGACTGCCAATTATTCAATATTACAAAAATTGGATAATATCAGCATAAAAACCAGACAAATAAACTGAATTTAACTGTCTTGTTCCCAATATTTTTACCATATTTAAAGAATAAGGGCAACTTTGTTGGCATATTTTGACAATTAAACTGAATTTTACTGTCTTATTCCTAATATTTTAACCATATTTAAAGAATAAGGGCAACTTTGTTGGCATATTTTGTCTTGAGTGGGTAATTTTGTAGATAACAAGTACCGGTATATAAAGCTGGCTAAATCACTGTTTGTGCACTTGACATTAAATTTACTGTTGAAATTTTCTATCTTTATGCTAGCTATTTGAATGATTTGGATGGAACATATTAGCCCTGTAAATAACAAATTAGGTTAAACTTAAAAAACTTAAAAATTTGTTTTTCTTTTATGCCTTTTCAAGGCACAAGATTTGAGTTACTGTATTGTTTAAGGTATTTTTTTAATTCGTCCTGTTTAGTTTTAATGTAGTTATGTTCATACACTAGGCATTATACTTAGGTCATTTAAGGTCATTTTATGACTGTTTTTTTTTTAAATCTATTTATTTATGTTTGTTAAATGCCTATACTTCAGTAAAATGTCTGTATTAAAAGCCAATTATGCCCCAGAATTGCTTTACTTGTATTTTATTTTTCAAAACCTTTTCTTTTATTTTCGTTGTTCTTTTACATTTAACAAAATGATATATACTCATCAGCAAAATATCTGAACCATGTTTTTCTTCTGCAGATTTGTAGCAATTAAGACAATTATAGCTGTTAAGTATTTTGTATAGAAGTCAAAATACTACTATGTTTACATTTTGCTACTTTTTTGACAACTATTTTTACATTTAGTGGTACATTGTACTTTCTTCAGATACCAAACATCTAACATGGTTTAAAACTATATTTTTAAACGTTATAAAACGTATGCCTACCCTTTCTAAAGAAGTAAAAATGTGTTTAGTTTCTGAGCCATAATGTGTCTTTAAACATCCACTATATTTGTGTAACATGATTGTGTGTTGACCAGTTTGTTTGTATTGTATTGCATGATTTTGTGTTGTTTATAGTTGATTTTTGAAATGAGTATACGCTATTCATGATGCTTATATGACATGATTGGTTTGCGTTCTCTAAGAGGTTTTGAATTATTTCAATATCTGTTTGGCATCAAGCTTGTTGTCAAAGGTTTCCACTCGGGTGTCTGTTCTTACATCTAAAGGCATCTTCTACCAACAACATATGGGCCACGTCATGACAAAACCAACAGAATGGGTTTGCGACCAGCATGGATCCAGACCAGCCTGCGCATCTGCGCAGTCTGATGCTGTTCGCTATCAGTTTCTCTATTTGCTATAGGGTTTGTTAGCGAACAGCATGGATCCTGATCATCAGACTGTGCGGATGCGCAGGCTGGTCTGGATCCATGCTGGTCGCAAACAGATTATGTTGGTTTTGTCATGACGCAGCTCATATGTCAATTACAGTGTTTGCAATGACCTTAAACCTAGCCCAACATTTGACATTCCTATACTAGATTCACATGTTTATGTTCCTGCTATACATGTAGCTGTTATTCATCGTTAATGTTATATTGTGTTGTTATTAAGAATATTCCTGCATTCCATAATTTATTTTAGTGAAAAAATAAAGAAATTTAAATGTTCATTGTTTGTTTTAACTATGGATGGTCTAAACAAAGGCATAAAATGTTAATGAACAGAAATAATGGGAGGTTTCTGTCCTTAGAGATCTTCAAACATATCTGTGCTTATCATCAAATGTAACATGTTCATTCTTAACACCATTGAAAAATATTCCAAACAACTGCCGAGCATATCAATTGATACAATTCTCCATTACATATAGTAACAACTGTACATATTTGTTCTTTAGCAACAACTGGACATGTCTGTTCCTTAGCAACAACTGGACATGTCTGTCCTTTAGCAAAAACTAAACATATTTGTCCTTTAGCTACAAATAAACATGTCTTTTTTATGCCGTCACTTCGAAGAAGAGGGGGTATATTGCTTTGCACTTGTCGGTCCGTCCTGTCCGTCGGTCCGTAGACCAAATGGTTTCCAAGTGATAACTAAAGAACCCTTTGGCCTAGGAACTTCAAACTTGGTATGGTGATTGGTCATGACCAGTAGATGACCCCTATTGCTTATTTTGGGGTCAAAGGTCAAGGTCACATTGACCTTGTAGGTAAAATCGGTTTCCGATCAATAACTAAAGAACCCTTAGGCCTAGGAACTTCAAACTTGGTATGGATATTGGTCATGACCAGCAGATGACTCCTATTGATTTTGGGGTCAAAGGTCAAGGTCACATTGACCTCTTAGGTAAAAACGGTTTCCTATCAATAACTAAAGAACCCTTAAGCCTAGGAACTTCAAACTTGGTATGGTAATTGGTCATGACCAGCAGATAACCTTATTGATTTTGGGGTTAAGGGGTCAAAGGTCAAGGTCACATTGACCTTGTAGGTAAAATCGGTTTCCGATCAATAACTAAAGAACCCTTAGGCCTAGGGACTTCAGACTTGATATGGTGATTGGGCATGATCAGTAGATGACCCCTATTGATTTTGGGGTCAAAGGTCAATGTCATATTGACCTCTTAGGTATAAACGGTTTCCAATCAATAACTAAAGAGCCCTCATGCCTAGGAATTTCAAACTTGGTATGGTAATTGGTCATGACCAGCAGATGACCCCTATAGATTTTTGGGTTAAGGGGTCAAAGGTCAAGGGCACATTGACCTCTTAGGTAAAAACGGTTTCCTATCAATAACTAAAGAACCCTTAGGCCTAGGAACTTCAAACTTGGTATGGTGATTGGTCATGACCAGCAGATAACCTTATTGATTTTGGGGTTAAGGGGTCAAAGGTCAAGGTCACATTGACCTTGTAGGTAAAATCGGTTTCCGATCAATAACTAAAGAACCCTTAGGCTTAGGGACTTCAAACTTAATATGGTGATTGGGCATGATCAGTAGATGACCCCTATTGATTTTGGGGTCAAGGGGTCAAAGGTCAATGTCATATTGACCTCTTAGGTAAAAACGGTTTCCGATCAATAACTAAAGAGCCCTCATGCCTAGGAATTTCAAACTTGGTATGGTAATTGGTCATGACCAGCAGATGACCCCTATAGGTTTTTGGATTAAGGGGTCAAAGGTCAAGGTCACATTGACCTTGTAGGTAAAAACGGTTTCCGATCAATAACTTAAGAACCCTTAGGCCTATAGGAACTTCAAACTTGGTATGGTGATTGGTCATGACCAGTAGATGACCCCTATTGATTTTGGGGTCAAAGGTCAAGGTCACATTGACCTTGTAGGTAAAAACGGTTTCCGATCAATTAACTAAAAATGCTTGGGCCTAGAAACTTCAAACTGGGTATGATGATTGGTCATGACCAGCAGATGACTCCTATTGATTTTTGGGTGAAGGGGTCAAAGGTCAAGGTCACATTGGTCTTGTAGGTAAAAACGGTTTCCAATCAATAACTAAAGAACGCTTAGGCCTAGAAACTTCAAACTTGGTATGGCCAGCAGATGATCCCTTTTGATTTTGGGGTCAAGGGGTCCAAGGTCAAGGTCAAATTGACCTTGTAGGTAAAAACGGTTTCCAATCAATAACTAAAGAATGCTTAGGCATAGGAACTTTAAACTTGGTATGATGATTGGTCATGACCAGTAGATGACCCCTATTGATTTTGGGGTCCAGGGGTCAATGTCATATTGACCTTGTACTTAATGACGGTTTCTGACCAATAACTCGACAACTCAAGTTGATATTTTTATATTAAACTAAAAATGCTTTTGGTATACACATTTGAAGGTCTTATGTAATATAACAACTTGGCTGTCATTAATGAGGCCTACATGATTCATAAAATTTATGCATATATTATTTGGTAAGATTTATAATAACTTAAATTGCTGCACACAACCTATGGGGTCACAATAATTATTACCTTGTGACTAGTCATGACCAGTATATACTAGATAACTGATAACCCTTATTAATTGTTTGTTCACTGGGTCAGAAGTCATGCATAATAACTTGATCACATGACTTATTGGCTGCCGATAGGGGGCATACATGTTTTACAAACATATCTTGTTCTTTAAGTAATGACTGGATATGTCTGTCCTTTAGCAAACACTGGACATGTCTGTCCTTTATAACTGGACATATCTGTCCTTTAGGGACAACTGGACATGTCTGTCCTTTAGTAACTCCTGGACATGTCTGTCCTTTAGCAAAAAGTGGACATGTCTGTCCTTTAAGTAACAACTGGACACATGTCTGTCCTTTAGCAACAACTAGACATGTCTGTCCTTTAGTAACTCCTGGACATGTCTGTGCTTTAGTAACAACTGGACATGTCTGTCCTTTAGTAACAATTGGACATGTCTGTCCTTCAGCAACAATTGAGCATGTCTGTTCTTAAGTAACTCCTGGACATGTTTGTCCTTTAGTAAAAACTGGACATGTCTGTCCTTTATTAAAAACTGGACATGTCTGTCCTTCAGTAACAAACTGGACATGTTAACACTGGACATGTATTGTCCTTTAGCCAACTGAACATAACTGGACATGTCTGTCTTTAGTAACAGCACTGAACATGTCTAGGGCAGTAACATATCTTGTCTGTAACTAATGAGTTCATTTAGCAATAAATGAAAATGTATGTCTTTAAGCAACGACTGTACATGTGTTCATTTAGCAACAACTGAACGTGTATGTCATTAAGCAATGACTGGACTTATCTGTCCCTTAGTACTGACTGAATACATCTTTGTTTTACGAGGGACGGTCAGAAAATATCCGGACTTTTCATGCTCCTCTCTTTCCATGTGCAGCTATATACACACATTATATATTGGTGAAAACTACATTCATTTGCCAATAACGTGGTCAGTTTATTTTCAATGATAGTTGTGTATACACAGTATTTTGCCCTCTGATATATGATAGGTGTTTCGTCTAACATGGACTCTTTGTTAGAGGAACAACGCCCTGTAATAAAGTGTCTGGTTGCAGAAGGTGAAAAGCCATGCCACATCTTTCATGAGGCTTAAAAAACGATTTTCTGATAAATTAGTATCACGTTCAACCTTCTACAACTGGGTTTCTCAGTTTCGGGAAGGCAGAACAAGTGTTTGTGACAGGTCTAGGATTGGGCGGCCAGCTGCGGCAGTGATCCCAACAATGGTAGCAAATATTAAAGCTTTTGTCAACAAAAATTGTCGAGTAACTTTGGATGAGGTAGCCAACAAGTTTAGCATCGGTAAAGCATCGGCACTCAAGATTTTACACGATCACCTAGGCATAAGCAAGTTAAGTGCCAGGTGGGTGCCTAGACAGCTGTCGCAGATCAAAAGGAACCCAGCGTAACCAAAATGAAAGAAACATATAAGTCGTTTTAAATTCGTGAAGGAGATAAGTTTTTGAACCGCATTATCACTGGAGATGAGGTGTGGGTTCATGTATTCCGAACCTGAGACAAAAGCTCAGGCAAAAGCAGTGGAAACGATCTGGTAAAACCCCACCTCCTAAAAAGTTTAAGCTGTCTCCTTCGGCTGGCAAAGTTCATGCTTGTTGCCTTTTGGGGATTCACGAGGAATGATACTTACTGCATTTCATGCCAAAAGGTCAAACTGTCCCGCCAAGTACTATTCTGAAGTAAATTCTGAAAAGCTGAAGCAAATGCGTCCCAGGGTTAGACAGAAAAAAGTTCCTCCTACTTCACGATAACGCCCCCTCCCATACCGCCGCAGCTTACAGTGGACGGTTATTCAACTCTTACAAATGGCAATTTTTTGTCTCACCCTCCTTATAGCCCAGACTCGCCCCCCTGTGCCTTTATTTTGTTTTCCAGAACTGAAGAATTGCTTGCCGGAAAGAAATATAAGACCAGGGCGGCTTTGATATCTGCTGTTACACAGTACCTAAAACATAGGTCTACTTCATGGTTCACAGCGGGAATACAAAAGCTCCCACGAAGATGGCAAAAGTGCGTAGACGTAACTATGTGGAGAATATTTTGAAAAAGAGTAGAAAAATTGTTTTTAAAATTTTGAATGGTTTTCGAGAACGAGTCAAAAGTCCGGATATTTTCTGACTTCCCCTCGTAGTAAACATTTTAACATATATTTCTATTAGCAGTGACTGGATACTTCTGCCTTTTCACAGCAACTATAAATTCCTTTAGGAATGACTGAACATGCATGTCCTCTAGGGACAACTGAACATGTCTATTCTTGAGCATTGAATGGACGAGTCCGTAGTTTAGCAATGACGGAATGTAACAATGATATTTATACATTTTTATATCAAAAATACACCAAACAAAACAAACATTATTTCATTCAAGGACCACCATGATGACCATGTTCACAATGGCATTCCCCATCTATGCAGTGAAACATAGGTTGTCCAGAGGTGTCAAGGCGGCAATGGCGGTTGTGGTCTCCTCCAGCCGTGGCAGAGCAATCGGTTTTAAGTGCGCATTTTTGATCTATAAATAAAATTTGTTGTTTTTGAATAAATGCATCATTCAGTTGTAACTACCGGAAATTAATATGGGCAATTTACCTTAAGATCATTATTGGGCCTATAAGTTTTGTATAAGGGGAACATTCTGACCATCTCTAAAATACTTAGAGTTTTGGAGTTCTATTAGCTATTAGACAAAACTGGCAACCCAAGATTTGGTTGCCAGACTTTCGATACGCTAAAACAAACTACATGTAATTTTGTCCTGCTAAATTACATGGTTTCTGATTTAATCTTGGTAAAACAATACGTTACCGTGGTAACATATCTGATATACTAGTAATAGGACATATATTATTGATTTGTGCTTTAAACTGTAACAATTTTGGAACATCAAATGGTAACAACGGGCATTGTAATATCTTAAGTGGGCCGATTGGTTAAGGACAGTTAACCCGTCACCGCTTTGGGTGCGAATCCCGCCCTTGAACTTTGGAATTTTTCAAGTCCGGAAGATATCCAGCTAGCTCACAGAACGTTTATGGTTCTACTAAGGTGCCCGTTTGACACGATGGGCAGTTGAGGTCTTCCTCTACCAGTTAAGTTGGAAAATCACTAGTTGACCTCTTCTGTGATGTTGCCACATAAATCCCATTAAATGATATTTTTTATCAGTTTTTAAATTTTTATAAATAACCAATAATTGAAAAAATTGTACGGATTCCTTCCTTTTAAGACGTGAAAGTGTATAACGTTTATTATACATAATATATATTTAAACGCTCATGCTAACGCAATACATCTCGCACATGAATCATAGTCGCGTCAGACAAAAGGTCAAGTGTAAGAAAAAAAGACGACTATCCTTAGTCAAAAGTAAATGTAATATTATACAGTCATATGTTCTTACGAGAATGTACTGTTAAGCATGTACACAGATTGTCGACGCAATGCACGGTAGAGTTGACACACATTGTTGCCTTACATGCGCCGGAAGATGACGTGCAGCTCTCGCTTGCCACATACACTGAAACAAAATTAATTCTATTATTCTATCAATGAATTATGTCGACAACTTGTAAACAACAGCTTGAGTTTTAATTATAAGATGATACGGAACATATTCGAATCATCTATGGCAATTTTGTCCATGGTTAGGACATGCACTCGCAGGTTCAATGTTTAAATTGCAAACTTGCTCGATTTGGACTAATTTTAATAAGACACTGTGAAATTTCAGAAGCAAAGTCATGTTTATCCTTCAAGAATAAGACATAATGTCTGCTTATGAAAATAATCTAGCTATAACGGATCAATGACTATTTACACAGTCAGCTGATGAGCTCTGTAACACGGCACTTTGGGATCAAACGCACTTTGAAGTCAAAATCGAGAAATAAACGATGATAGGCCACTTTAACGCACATTGGGCTCCAACGCTCTGAGGGTGTCAACTGAAATCTGCATCAATACTGAGTAATGACTTATTTCCGATCTGCAGCCTTGAAAAATTTAAGGGGGAGTTCTAGTTGACGGTCAGTTTTAAGGTACATTAAGTTCTGTGCAATTGAATAATCTTGATTAGTGCCATTAAATTACGATGTAGCAGTATTGAAAGAAAATAATAATGAATTTGTTGCAAAAGTGAAAATGCATTTTTTAAAATTTTACACTTTAAAATCAAAAAAAAATTGTTTTTTTTTTTGTTGTTGTTGTGGGGGCTTTGGGTCTAATTTCATTTTTTGAAAAAGTTTTGGTCCGTGTTAAATCAAAATTAAAATACGGGAAAAGTAATAAAAAGCTTTTAAAACCATCATTGCATCGTAATTAAAAAAAAACCCTCTATTTTCTTTTTTAATGGCCCTTAAAAAGATGTTAGAATTAAAAATTCATTATAAGTTCGTTAGGGCTCACTGTTAATTCACTTTAAAAAAATGGGCACGGGTAAAAATTTAATGTAAACGTTAATTTACAGACGAACACTTTGTATTCTGAATCAGTATATTTAAGGGTATTGGGATAAATTGTAGGGTTTCAAAAGTATCTGTACCCCCATTTGGAAAAGGACTCGGAAAATTTAAGCAACTAAAATATTAGATATTAATACTATTATACTTGAAAATTACTTACCAAAAAGACACGCCAGCACAACAACAGCTAATTTCATCTTGTACAATGTGTTAAGTCTGCCAAAAAATGCAAGTAAGGTACTTTTCTTTGTCTGTACGCAATTTATACCGTTCAAGATCGTGCCTTTAAAACGTGTTCAAGATTGGAGATAGACAATTTCGCAATTGTCACATTAACCATATAAGGAAAGAACTGTCACATTTTGTCTCTTATCTATCACGAATTGATTGTCGGTGAAGTTTTATTTTTGGAAGTATGTGAGGAGATCTACAGGAATGCAATGAAAGGTTTATTTAAAGAAAAGGACTCATTAAATTAGAGTTCAATAACTAAAGTTGAATATTAACTAAATTCTGATTAAAGTCAAGGTTTTTTGTTTAAGGGAAATTAATACTACTATAATGTTTTGCCAATATATGCTGAACTTAAAGAGGTATTATATTGATTAAAGTGTATCAAGCTATTCATTATATACCTATAAAATTTGGGGAAAAAAAACAAAAATATTTGAGGTCATATAGTGTTTTAAGGATACCGGAAATTAATATAAACATTTTCAGACAAGTTTCTTGATTGGGTCTCTTCCTTTATTGAAAGGTTCATTTTGATTACTCAGGCGCATTTACATCCGGGTGTATATTGTCCTGCCTTTTGTGGTGCTCTTTTTGTGTGGCCTTTTTCGCTTCAAACTTGAAAGGCATCCTCACTATGTAAATAGAAATTCGTCTTGAAGTAATAAAAAAATGTATACATGTATGTATACGAATGATATATGTATGATGATCTGGAACTGGCCAAACCAATACAAGAACCGGTTGAACCGGGTGATGCTCCCCGAATAGGTTTTCGACACATAAATGTATACTTCTTGTAGTTTCAGAGTTATGTCCCGGACAAAGTTCAAAGTGCATAATTCCAAACTTAGTCAAGACAGAGATACTGTTCTTTGCACTGCTCATGTACCTAATGATATCTTTCTGCCTACACAGTTTTTTTTTTTGTCCATATCTCTTATAGCGTCAGAGTTATGTCCCAGACAAATTTCACAATGTAAATATGAACAAAAGGCAATAACTCCAAAATTAAGCAAGGCAGAGTTACGGTTCTTGTGCACTGCACATCTACCCAATGAGATCTATCTATCTTCAAAGTGTCAATTTCATATCTATTTTACATTCAGAACTATTTCCTATGACAATCTGATCTTATTCTTGAATTTGTATAACTTTTTTGACAGTAACTGTCATTTTAGAATACCTAAATAAATCGATCATGGTAACCATTTTTCAAAGTATACTAAACCGTTTTGTTATTTAACACTTTAGTTCATATGCAGATGTTTCAAATAAAATCATACTAAAATTTCTGCACCTTCCGACCTTGAAAACAAATTGACCTGATAAATATTTTGTGCTTAAACTTCCTTTACTATACAAAAAAGTCAAATTCGAACAAATGACAATCCAATAGTATACATTACCCTTATTTTTTTCAAGACGCAATATATCGTTTAACAAACGATACAACAATTTTCTGTTATCTTTTTATCAAAAATATTTGTCTAAGTTAGTTATCTAAACAATAAAATAATTTCCTGTGTATTGTTTATTCTTTATTTATATACCCTTAGTAGGCTGTTCAGCCGAAACCGTTGATCTCATTCTCATTGTATTTTTTTAAGACTTTGCAGTTGACTACATATTTTTTACTTATTAATCAAATGAAACAAATTTTGTTAGGTAATATATCTTACAAGAGTAAGATATGACTTTGAAAATATGCGATGTTTTGAGTTCCTTTATTTTATTTACCTTTTTAATCTTTATCTTTATTTATTTTTTTATTAAGGTAATACATGAATATGTTTTAGATAATATGATATTCAATACTTTATTGAAGAATCAAAACAACAAACATATTAATAAATTTTCCCTGAACAGGGAAAGAAATAAAAATGTCCGAAAAAGGAAAGCGATATAAAATTGATGTATCCACGAAATCATTGCTAAACGATCAAAACTCTACTTAAATTACAGCATAAACTTTAGTTTCAAAACATTATATTCTGTTTTCGTAAACATACCTGAATGATTATAATAACAGAGACATTTTATGTTACAAATCATTCTCAACAAACAGACGTGCCCGATTATCAAGTAATTGCAAACATATTTTAGATAAATTTCTAGTTAACATTATACCTCTATAGTTATCTACATTATCGGTATCCACCTTTAAATTGTGGACAGGGGCCAATATACTTTTTGTCAAAGATTCAAGGTAAATTCTCTTGTTGTATATATAGTTAAATAATTTACACAAGGTAGAAGAAATTGTTTGAGTCCACGAAAGTTTCTGGTATCGATAAGTCTTCACCAGCATTTTTTTGCCTTTTTAATGTATCAATAGCTTTATCAACCTCATCAATTGTAAAATCACAATCTAAAAAATCAACATAACAATTAACATTCTGATTTAAAACTTCTTTAATAGCCTGATCACAATATACATCAGTATCAGAAAATAAACCTTTATAATGATAATAAAAATCCTCAGCAAATTTTACATTCCTTTCTACATTTTCTTACAAGATCCCAAATTTTTTTTGGATTACGTTTTGCAACTCCTCATTTTGTTTACTTACATACAAATATATCATATAGCTTTTGTTAAACGTACACAAAGAGACATGTACACTTCTACTAATCAAGCTGTATTTACTTGTAGCTGTGCCGATAAGAACCTATATACATTAAATTTTGTTTTCACGCGGCAATTGCGAGCATAATTAATCAATAAAACAATAACAACACAAAAAAAACCATCTTTTAACATGTTTTTGTTTGTTTCTGCTTCTATGTAAATTGTAAGATGATCTAGTAGAGAAACACAATGTTGCTTTCAACTGCTATTAACATTAAAAATTGTGTAATTTAGGTTAATAACATGGTACGTACTTCAAACGTAAAGTGTACCCTTTGTCAGGTTGAACACTGAATACCTCAAACTGCCCCCAGTATATAAACCTCAAATATTTCAACTGGGTGTTTTCAAATACTAAAGCTTTGTACTCGGATCTTTTATCAAATAAAAGAGAAGATGAGACAAACATTATTTTAGACTCGTTAAAAAGCATTGTTACAAACGAAACAAGGAAATTAATTCGTATTAGAGAAAGAGTACTAAGATTTCTTTTTAACTTGTCAACAGAAATGTGTAGTCGCATTTCTACACAAAAATGAACAAAAAGATTACATGGTCAATTTTAAGTTTACTGAAAATTACTATTACAAATATTTCTCAACTTTATTTAGCTAAAGCGTAATAATTTAATTTATTATGGTCTACTTTTGGTTCATCATTTTATAGGTAACATGAATGCATATTGCCATCCTTCAAAACACTTTAATAATTCAAAATGCAAAAGGAAGTTTTTGTACGATTTTAAGAATACACTAACTAGGACACTAGGACATAACATATTTAGTGCAAATGTCCTCATGTTATATATATAAAAAAGCAATAAAAAGTGTTTAAGACTTAAAAATCATTAGTTTGATACGTTTATGATTAAATTTAATCACGAACATAAAATCTAAATAATTATGTAAAGAAAAAATACCTGTCGCTTAACTGCCCAATTGATTATTTTCATCCTTTTAAATAAGACCATTTACAACTTAAGGCAATAGGAAACAGTCATACTAATTCTTTTACAAAACAAAATCATTGCATTGCATTTAACGCAAATCTAACGTTATGTGAAGGCTAAATGATAATTTTTTTTAACGGGGGGTTGAATTATATATGAATTTGCCATAAATGTCACGTATCCCTTGCTTGTGACTTTGTTCAAATATATATAAAACAAACATTTTTACTCTTTGTTTATGCTCAGTTGATAAAACATTGTATGTGTATACATGTGTTTTATTTTCGGCACTGGGTTAATCCGCGAGACAAAATCCATATCACTCTCAGTTCTGAATATTAAAGAAGCTATGTATGGAATATATATTACAAAAAATAACGCCAAAACAACCAACTACACATGTAGAAGAGAATATTTTGAAGTATTTTTTGCTATCTTTTATTATATTGCCTACATCGTCCAACATATTTATATGTTGTCTGTCCTTTCTAAAGTAGAATAGTAGAATAAGCAGTTATTTATACATAGGATTGAACATAGAAATTGCATTGTGCAAAAATAAAGAAAACATTGACACTTGTTCTCAATAATTTTACTGAGAAGAGCTGTAAACAAGAAAACATGTATAACGGTTTCCACTTTCTTGTCGAAGAACATGAGCATTTTGTGATAATCAATGAATATAAAAAATAACAATCTGCAGTTCATTCTTCCTAAAATTAGTTTTATTGTTTTTTTTATTTACACCATCTAAAGCAAAGAAATATTTTCAATGATATCAGCTTGCGTGGACAAATAGCAGAAATATGTATATGAATAATGTTATTATTTACGCAAAGATGCATTTTCACAGCCGTCGATTCGGCGTCCTACTTGTATTTCTATAGGAATATGACAAGGATGTACGTGCTATATAAAGGATTGAAACAGGTTAAGTTTAACCAGTAGAAGTTAGCTTCCGCTTTAAAAGGACGTATATCAACAAACAGGTAAGCAAATACTAAATACTAAAACTGATCTAAATACTTCACCCTGATAAATGAATGGTTTGGTTAAATATCAATGTTCTTAGATTAAAAAGACTGTTCTGTAATTATCATTATCAAAACACTTAAAATCTTGGACAGAATATAAGTAAACATAACTTCAAACTCTCTTCCTTTACATTTTGATATTTCTAGGCATTTATTAAAAAAAAATCAGAAATTGTTAAACACGTTTATTGATGAAATATGTAAAATAATCAACAGGCAAATTCTCAATAGAAAGTTGGCAAATAATTTTGTATCATTATGTATATTTGATATAAAAACAGCGCAAGGGCAATCGGGTTGGTCTTATAAGCTCATTAGCTCGAGTTACACGGGTTACGGTATCTGTAAGGTATCTGCTGTATGTATGCTTATAAATGACAGCATAAAGCTATGTTTATATCCTAAGCATTTGACCATAAAAGTGATTTAAAATTTCCAAATAACTATTTGTTTTTATCATTTGCTTAC